ATTTAAATAATCAATCAAATTTGGGATTAAATATAGTTACGTTGACATTGTTCATACAATATAAACAACGATTAATACATATATTGTTCATAAAAAATAAATATTGAATTATACAAAAAAACAAGTATTTGGTATATCATACGGTTCAAACTTAAGGGCATCATTTGATTATCCCACCCTGGGTATGAAAAACAAATGGACCACCCTGCCCACGTGGAAGTAGGAAGAGATCGCCATGTATTTTACTATAAAGTTAACGAAGACGACACGTGGGGTTGATTCTATCTGGGTTATAGTTGACAGATTGACCAATAGTGCTCATTTCATTCCCCTTGATGAGAACATCTCCACCAAGAAATTGGCAGACATCTACATCAGGGAGGTTGTAGTTCGGCACGAGGTACAAGTTTCAGTGGTTTCTGATCGTGATGTTCGCTTCACTTCCAGGTTCTGGAGGAAGTTTCATGAGGAGTTAGGTACCCAACTACTTTTCAGCACCACTTACCACCCTCATACCAACGAACAAAGTGAGTGGACTATTCAAATGCTTGAGGGTATGCTTAGGGATTGAGTGCTAGATTTTCATGGGAGCTGGGATACTTATCTTCCATTAGTCGAGTTCTCTTACAATAATAGTTACCATGCAATATTAATCGACCTCTCTTCGAGATGCTTTACGGGAGGAAATGTCGGGCCTAGTTTGTTGGGAAGAGGTTAGGCATCGAGTTATGGGGAGTACTGAGGTCGTACTCAAGACCACTGAGTTGATTCAGCAAATGCACAATCGGCTGCAGATCATGCAAAGTCACCAAAAGAGCTATGTTGATCGACGACGTTTAACCATCGAGTTTCAAGTCAGAGATTTTGTGCTTCTAAAGGTGTTACCTTGGAAATGTGTCATTCGGTTTCAGAAGCTGGGCAAGTTGGGGCCCATATACATTGGTCCCTTCAGGATTATCGCCCGAATAGGTAAGGTGGCGTATCGGTTAGATCTGCCTAAGATTAGTCAGATTTATAACACTTTCCATATATTTCAGCTTGGAAAGTGTTTAGCTGACGATTCTGGGATGGTACCCGTAGATTACATTCAGATTGATGAACGCTTGAATTATGTTGAGAGAACGATTGCGATTATCGACAAGTAGACAAAGACCTTGTGAAACAAGATGGTGGGCTTCGTGAAGGTACACTGGCAACACCAGAAGAGTTCGGAGTTGACGCAGGAACCCAGGGAGGAGCTGGGGGCATTATCCACAGTTGTTTGCGGTAGAGGACTTCGAGGACGAAGTCTGATTTAAGTGGGGAGAGTTGTAACATCCGAATCCTTGAGATGTGAAAATATGAAGTAAAATATGAGTTTTAGGAGGGTCACGACGTGAGGGAAGCACCATCACGTCATGACGTGGCCGCGTTTATCAGGATGGATCATTTTGTGTGTCACGACGTAACACCTTATCAGATGCAAAACCCTAATTTTGGACTTGAACCCTATTTAAAGGAAATGAGGGGCTAGGGTTTCCTTCACCTTCAGCTTTCATCACCTCCAAACAATGCTTTGGTCAAACCCTATTCCTCTTGAAGTTTACAGCTCATATTTGCAATATTTTGGGATTTTGAAGGAAGAAGAAGAAGCTTTAGTGCTTAGTTTCTCCAAGCAATCCCTCATCGTTCTTGTAAGCAACCTATGGACTTCTTTTAAGTCCTCAAACTCTCACCTTTTTGTTGTATGCTTCATGGATATAGATTTTGTGCCATATTTTCCCCATCTGTGAAGATAGAATGAGTAGAAGAGATAAAGTTTGCAACTTTATGACTTCTCTGAGTCCCAAGAACATTGCATTTTATATATCTAGGGTGCGGTTGTGATTTGGGGGCTTTGCATGAAACTTTTGGTCATATTTCATCTTTTGACCCAGATTTGAGAAAGAACATGCATGGGTATGCATGTCCATAAAGTTTGCATTTTTAGGGATCATTAGGGCCCCTAAAACCTTTCTGAAAGTTTTAGACTTGAGACTTTAAGGATTAAGTGCTTAATGGTTGATTTCATGCCTCAAGTGGCCATTAAGGACCTATATTTTGAGATCTTGGCTTATTGGGATGTCTTAATGGATAAATTTGGAAACTTTATCCATCAAGACCTTGGTAAGGATCAGATCTAAGCTTTGAAGCTCATGGAATAATGGCAAATGACTTAATCCATTAAGCTGTTGAGACCCAGTTTTTCACGACGTCTCATCTTGGCTGTCACGACGTGGCGATCGGGGGGAGGCGCGGCCATTTTATCCTTATTATGCCACGACGTGACCAATAAGAGGCTATGGCGTGGTGTCTCTTTGAGGTTGACTTGGAATGTTGACTTTGATCAAGACTTTTTGACTTGGATTAACGTTTGGTCAAAGTGCTAGTTCTAGAGTATAGACTAAGGTTGGACCTTTTTTGATTGATATGTGTGTTGTAGCACCGATTGTGTGACGGTTAGCTATGGTTTATCTGACTTCGCGGGACATGTGAGTCTTCTCACTATACTACATAGGATGTTAGTTGTCTTTATGATACATGCCTGAAAGACCCCGAGGGTAGCCCATGGAATTTGTATGAAGGACCATGGGGTAGCCCATGACACTTTCATATAAGCCCATGGGATAGCCATGGCAATGCGAGGAAAGGCTATGACGGTAGCCCATGACACTTGTATATGTGACCATGGAAGTAGCCCATGGGCAGTGCAAGGAAAGACCATGGGGTAGCCCATGACACTTGTATGCAAGACCATGTGGGTAACTCATGACAATGTATGTATGGTATGTGGTATTTTGGGGAGATCACTAAGCTCTATGCTTACGATTTTGTGGTTTGAACATTTTCAGGTACTTCCAGTTCCAATAGGGAAATCATGGCTTAACTGCACAACATTTTCGTTGAGGATTTTCCGCATTTATGATTGTTGTTGACTCTGATAATTATGATACACGTTTACTATGATGGATTTTTGGAACAAATACTATGTGAATTGATGAACTAAAAATGGAAAATTTTATTCATGTTTTTCGGATGTTACTTGATAAATTGTTCGGTGAGTCACATAACTGTACCTTGTCATAATACCTAACGAGTATCATGATGTCATATTAGCTCCTTCGGTGACTTGAGAACATTGGCAGTGGCGACGATGATCTATATCACACACAAATAGTAACGCAATGTCAATCACTTCTCGAAAGGGTGTTCCAACGGTCAAGTTAGTTCTAGTGAAGAAATGGTATTGCCAAGGTCTAGAGAGTAAGAGAGTGATCTTGATACGTGAGATTTGTTGGTCTTTTTATAGTCTGAGTTGGTCTAGGCCATGGCTTAGAAGATGAACTCCAATTAACACAATTTTGTGGTCTTGGCCATAGCTTAGGCCCTCTAGTACCCTGAACGAAGGGCTTTGGTGTCCACTTGACGCCCAACCACGAAGTGAACACCACCCGAGTGTCTCGTTCTTCTTCGTTGTCGTGGTAGATTATTGTGGGGAGGACGATAGACCACAACCAATTGGAAAGCATTTGGGTGTTTACTTGGTTGACTAGTCGTTTAACGGCTAGTTTGTAAATTTTTTTTTTATAGAAATAAATAAATAAATTTTGATCTATAAACACCACTACATACAAGAATATTTTCCACACCATTCTTCTCTTTCTCTATTTACACCATTCTTCTCTTTCTCTATTTACATACACACATCTCTATTGTTTTAAAATAAAAAAAATCACAGATCCCAATCAAAATACCCAACCAAACTATCGAAACCGAAAGCTCAATTACATTTATGTGTTAGATACAACTCCACATCAATACCCGAACATGAAATCTTAGATACAACTCCGCATCAATATCTAAACATGAAATCAATGTATTCAACAAAATGCATGATTAAGATAATTAATGACTTTATACGGCACTATCATTTATGACTCTTCTTTTGCTTCTTAATTTTATGCATCTTCCATCCCTTGTAATGGAGAGTTTATAGTTATATAGACACATGCAATCAAGGTGTTCATCGAAATATGTGTGAATGATCATGGCTCCATAAGCTAGTCTTATCTTTCTTTTATTTTTAGACTATTCTCGTAACCAAAAAAATATATCTTTTACACATTCACAACCAAACAAACCTAATTATTCATACTCATTATCAACCAAGTCTATCCCAATTTTCTAATAAATACATATAACTTATTGTTATTTATACTCTATTACAAATATAAAAAAAATTATTTTATTTAGAGTAAATTACATGAATGGTCCCTATGGTTTAGGAAAATTTACGTGTTTGGTCCCTAACTAATTTTTTTAACTCGGAAAGTCCCTACTGTTTATTTTTGTTATGCCTTTGGTCCCTACTATTTGTTTTTGTTACGCACTTGGTCCTTATCTTACCTAAAAAGACTATTATTTAAATAGAAAAAAATAATGGGATAGATAAGGTAAGGTAGAGTGAATGGAATTGGGGGTGTGTTTATTTAAATAAATTAAAAAATCAATAGAAAAATAGTCTTTTTAAGTAAGAAAGGGATTAAACGTGTAATAAAAACAAACTGTAGGGACCTTTCGAGTTAAAATAAGTTAGAGATCAAACGTGCAAATTACCCTAAACCATAGGGACCATTCGTGTAATTTACTCTTTTATTTAAAAGCAACTAGATTATTTATTTTAAATAGATTATGGGGACAAAATAAAATAAAAAAAAAAAAAAAAAAAAAAAAAATCTAGGGTTGAATATGAAAAATGTCCTCGTAGAGAAAAAAATAAATAGTTATTATTTCTTATGCTTTTTAAAATTAAATAATACTATATTTCCTAAAAATAATAAAAGTTATTCACAAACTCTAGCCTTTTAAGTTGTATGTTTGCACACGCTCATGCATTCCATTTTTAGTAGTTTAGGACTTGAGTAGTTACTACAAGCAATAGGTTCAAGAGATGGAGGTTGTTTTTTTCATTTTATTTACCTTCCATTCCATCTTAGTTTTCAAGATTGCATTATTAGACTTACAAAAATGGATAAAAGTATAAAACCATAAAGATCAACCAATTAACTATTGCCTTTCTCTTCTATTTCATATTTACTTTGGTGTTTACTACTTATCACCAAAAAAATCACATTGTCAAAGATCAAAAAATAAGATTCACAAAATCTTAAACTCAAACCAAATCTAAACTAATATCAACATACTATAAGCTCCACACATAAACCTGGCCTCGATCTGTCGATCCAACAAGCATCCCAGGAATCAAAGGATGCGCATCAAAACGACTTGGTACAACAGCCATACGTCGGCTCTTCAAACTAGTAATAATCCTCCTCTTGTGTTGAAATCACATCAATCCCTATCTTCATATTTCCCACAAACACATATGAATCATCCCACCCCTGCTCAATTAAAAAAACAAAAAAGGGCAAAAACGTCATTTACTCGCATCCACATAGTTTGTTCACTCAAAAAAAAAGAGAAGAAACAACTTACTTGAAAACCGAAACCCATTTTCCCGTCTGATTGTCGTGATACACGGAGAACTCATCGTCAAAATTTGCTCCACTTGCCACTCCAATCTTATCATCAGTGCTACATACATAAAAATTAAAAACATTACTTTTTCGGTTATAAGTTAATAAGATGATAAAAGTCAGAATCTTGATGGATAAGGGTGATTTAGTAAATTGTACCTTGTTGTAGCGAGAAGGTTTCCTGAAGGAGAGAAGTAAGCTGAATGCACAGGCTTGTTGCGTGTAATCTTTGTAATAGAACTTGGATTATTATTTTTACCAAATGCAGACAGTTTTATCTGAAGAACTTGTAGCCATTAAATTGATGTTTGTTGGATTGAAATCAATGGTGTTAATCCTAGAAGTATGCAAGTTACAAGTCATTGATGAGCTCTTGGATCTTTCATCCAGGACACGAAAAACTCCTTTGCCTTCCCTAAAATACAAGGAGTTCACATCATCAGCTGTCTGAGACATAGAAAAAATCTCCTGTTTGGTAGAATATGTCAAATCAAAAATCTCTTTCTCCACATCTAATGTGCGAATAAAACCATGATAAGAGCATGTAATGATCTGCATCAAGTAACATAAACATGACTCGGTGGTGAAAAGAGAATAAGTTTTTAGATTATGTATGAAAAAAGAAGAAAATCTATGAGAATTAGATGAGAAGTAACTAGTAAGTAGTAAGTAAGTACCTTGTTGATGGAAAATGGATGAATGCAAATGGATGACATAGGTGCTGAATGAGGATGATACATGTAAATCCCATCACCATTTTTAGTAGGTTCTGAATCAATATTCCAAAACCCTAAATCTCCAAAAACGTTCCCCGCAACAACCATCCTCATATCTGCAGATGGAAAGAATTTAACTGACAGTATCTTGTTAGTTACAACACTAGCAATATTTTCTGGAATCAACTTCATCGACTCCAAATCAATCGAAGATCTAACCCTAATTCCAGCATCATTGTTTACCCCTTCTGATCGCGACTCCTCAGATACGCTCAGAATCTTCTTGACAAGTGGTTCATCAGGTTTAGAAGAAATACTCACTTCTCTCATACTAAGTGGCTTCAATTTTAGAGCGGATTTCTCAGGCGCAACTTTTGATTTGGGCGAATTTTGTTTCTCAGGTGCTTCGTAGAAACTATAATTATCTATTAAACCTGTAGATTCTGGGGTTTCTTAGAGATCTACGGGTTACAATTGGGATTTCGGATTTTGCTTTCTTCTGTAGTCTATTAGTTTGTTGCCTGATCAAAAACAACAAAGATAGATTCACCAACTGAACAAATCCATAACCAAAATCTTGTATCAAGTGTAGAGAATAAAAGAGTTACCTGTGGCGCTTGGTTGATGTAAATAGATCAGCAAGCTTGGATCGGATGTTGAGAGAGGCGAGCTGTTCGTCGTTGCGCTTGATGTTTTCAAGGCGTTTGCGCTCATACTCTGTGAGTCTCTCAGACGACATTGCTACAGCGAAAGAAAGAGACAGAGATTAGGGAAAGGAAAATTAGCGGGAAAAAACACTTGGGTCGAGACGAACGGGTCAAATGACTCACTTTGAATGGTTGTGCGATTCTATTTCAGGCGACGGTGGTCGAGTGGTGTACTGGTGTGCGTCCGGACTCCGGCAGCGGTAGACTGGTGGACGACGGTATGCTATTTCACGGATGGCGATGGTTGTTGCCTTGATTGCTCCAAGTGCTGTTTGTGCTATCGTCTCTAGCTGGTCAAATATCTTCAAACATATAATTTACTTCAGTCAATAATTCTTTATAGTAGCAATTACTATCCAGGTCTGCGTTTTATGAAACAAAAATGTTATTACTTTATTTAAAGTAAACAAGGGCATAATTGTCAATTACAGATTTTTTCAGTGGAGCCGTGGCCAACGCTCTAAAAACAATATCAAAACGACTATCTTTTTATATATTAAGAAACTTCTAATTTGTTGATTAGAAACATCAAATCAAAATATTATGAGAAATTAAATTGCCTCCTACCTTTTATTCCTACAATTATTCCTACCCACTAAAATTATGACAAATCACCATTCAATTTAATTGTATTTGATATATTCCTAATATAGTCTTAATGATTTAGTTTAAAAAATATGGAAAGATAACACTTGTCATAATTTTATTGAGTAGGCATATTTGTAGGTATAAAAAGTAGGAATCAATTTAATTTCTCAAATATTATTATTCATTCAAAAAATATCTTCAAAAATTTTAATTTGTAAGCCAACATTTCTTCTAAATCAATAAAACTAAAATTTCGCTACTCAAAAATACATAATTTTGTATAGTTAAAATAATAAAGTGAGAAATTTACATACATAAATCATTTAGTGCTTGTTTTGTTATCACTTAATAAAAAGGATAAAATTATATATTTAAGAATAACAACACAAAACATTTCATACAAAGTTGGTTTCGTGCTCATTCTTTTTTATCAATAAATAGTTATAAAAATCTCATGTCTATAAGTGCCACTGCCTCCTTGTTGAGTGTTGACCATTTTGAAAACAAATGAGCCTAACTATTTTTTTTTCCCATTTTTCCATGGAGCCTAAGATAAGAAAACAAATTAAATATGTTGCTATTTTATGTATTCGCTCCTTTTTGGTATATATTGAAAACAGCTACCCAATTAATAATTACACTTTCAAAATACAATAGATTTTAAAAAGAAAAATACATATTTCACGGAAAAAAATGGTGTTGCTTTGAACTTTTTTTTTTATCCGCCACTAACCCCATCCCAATGACAGTGTACACGATTCAAAAATTCTTGCTTCAAATATCGATTTCTCTACGTAAGATAGTCCTACATTTTCATGATATTAGCTAGTATCAAAACAAACATAACATGGATAAAAGACTATTTATCTTATATTAGCAAAAGAAATTCAACAAATAACAACATACTTTCATTAACATGTATGTTTATGAGAGCATCTTACTTTTAGTTATTCATATTAAAACGTTTACAGTGGAAAATCAAACCAAATTATAGTATCACACTTTAAACTTGCAAAAATCTACACATAAAAGTTGCACCATAGCAAAGATTGATAACAAATCTACACCCTTTATTAGACCACTAACTTTTCTCTACATAAAATTAGGCCTTCAATCACATATAGGCATACATGAGAACAAAAGAATATAATTAAACATGGATCATTATCACCATGACTTTCATAATATAAGATACCAACTTTTAGAATTTGGTACTCGTTACCCCTAGACATTTCTCCTCTCAGACATCATGACTTGATCTTTATAGAAAATTAAACATATGTCAATTGTTGCAATCATCAAACCTTCATTTGAAGTAAGATCAATCTTTAAAAAAAAATGATCATCACATATTCTAATAAAATCTCCCTCTCTTTTTAATCTATAAACACACAATTACCTTGTTTATAATCAATTAATTAACATGGTATTGTCAAATTCATGTTTCCACCCAATCAAACATTGGTATCTCATAATGCAACAGGGAGCCATCTAAATGTATTCTCTCTTTTTATCATTAGATTTATGTGACAAATATAGAAAATATATCAACATAGATTAGATTCATTATTAAAGGTTTACTCAACAAATTCTCAAAACCCTTTTCAGATTTCCTACAAATAAAGCAAAAAAAATAAGCATAAATGAAAGCCAACAAATAATTCTCTGAAGTCTTTTATATAAAACCATAATAATCCATATTTCAGTACTAGAAATGAGCAACAATAAGAACAAAATTACTCATTTAAGCTAAAACACAACTAGAAACAAAAACAACTTCTTCTCTTGTTTTGATGACAATCTTCCATGGTTTTGATTTAGCAAACACCCAAAACACCCTAGAATCCAAGCTTGGTTCTACGCCAATGCCTACGCTTAGCATTATACCTAAAAAATTAACAAATTAAGTCAAAAACAATAATCATTAACTTTATACTTTGTTACATGTGACATAACATATAATGGGCTATAAGAGGCAATAACGTCTTTTGGCATAAAACTAAAAGGGCAGAAGGGTCTTTTGACCTGATGGTGTTGTCTGTCCTCATGCGAATCCAATGAGGAATGGGCCTGTTTTGCCTCATCTTCTTTGCAAGCTTTTTCTTGATCATGAATGACTTGTGTGACGGCTGTAAAGAATATACAAAACATGAGCTAATAATCACAGTTTCATCAAATCATCAAAACAAGTTATTGATATAAAGAGATTTTAATCTTGCAGGTAGAAAAAAATAGAATCTTGGAAACCCATATGATCTTCACCTTGTTCTGAACTCATGATTATAAAACAATTAAAACTAATATAAAAAACAACGAAAATGGCCTACAATTAACATCTACAAAATCGAAATTATACTTCAATGATCTGTGATAGAAAGGGATAGATGCAAACATACCCATATGAACAACAAAATCCTAGCCGATAAACAATTCGAAAACCCTAGGTCAAATACACCTATGATTGATAACTTAAATCCCTTAAAACCAACAACAAATTATAAACATATATAAACTGAAGAAAAGCCACGACATTTTGAGAACAGATCAAATCCATAGAAGAGCAGACAATAAGATTAAGTATCAAACCCTAGAAAGAACATTTCATCCAGATATCCAGCCTCATTAGAATCAAGCACAATCGCTACGATGCTTTCAACAAGATTATATAAATAGACGATGGATCTAACATTGCAGGGTTCACGAAAACATAGATTACCATGGCGTTGGTTGAATGAGAGCTGCGCCGTTCTTCTCCTTTTTTGCTCTGGAGCTCAGACGAAAATAAAACAGATTTATGTAGCTAGGTATCGGCTTTGGGTGGGTTAGGGCCCAAGCCCAGTTACAATCTTGGCCTGTTTAAAACTGGATAGGCAGCCCATATTACTTCAATAAAGATTGTACAATTTCATATATTATTATTACATAGTAACAAGAAGAAAAAGATATGAAATAGTTAGTCTATTAATAAATTAGTAAAGTTATTTTTAGTTATAACAGGATATGTTTGTATAATCTAGTGTTAGGGTGGACTATGTTGAGCAGAAAGGAGATGAGAAAAGCTTTGGGTTGCTTTTAGGAAACACTGAATAGGGGGTTCATTGTCTTAGGGAACCTTTATGAGAAGATTTCTCTTTTATTTTATATGAGATATGAAGTATGAGATATCATTTCATGTGTTTAGCTTTTTAGGAAGGAAGAGAAATAATTTTGTAAAAAAAAATGGGAAAAACAAACACCTAGTGTGGTTTCAGGGAAGGTAGCATCGCCATCAATGAATATCCATCACCCTTAACAATTAAAAAAAATATTGCCTCACTGTTACTAAAAAACTATTGACTTGGGGACAATGATTTGTAGTCTTGTACATTTCTAGTTACAATTTATAATTTTTTTGTTTTTTTTTATTTTCTCCTTTCATCATATGTTATCATCTCATATAATAAACCACATCAGCTCCAAGTGGTGAATCTATACCAAAACTCAAGAGGGGTACACTCTATTATTAACAACAGCAGTCCCTCCGACAACGGTAGTTTTTTACAGCAATAATCACCAGAGTTAGTCATGGAGTTCCACTGGTTTCTTGAGCAAGACGACATGAATAGTAAATGGGTCTTGTCTAGGTTGAACTTTATGACCCACAAACTCATAACTAGGGGTGGTAAATCGGGCTATCGTATCGTGTTTTTGTCTGACACGATACGACATGGCAAAGTTTTATGTAATACGAACACTACACGATATGATGCCGTGTTTTTTTAAATAACACGAAAACGAACCAATTAAAACACGATAAACACGACACGACACAATAAAGATACCATAATATAACATTAGTTTATTTAATTAATATTTATTCTTACATACACGACAAATGTGAAAAACACGACAAACAAATGCTAAATCGTTTCAATTTCGTGGTGAATTTTAAACACAAACATGATACGACATCATGTATTTTACATTTGACACGAACACAACACGAACACAAATTCAAATTTCAGTTTCATCTCAATTTCATTTCATGTCGTGTCA